GTTTGCCAATTTCCAGAGTGTAAATTCTTTCACTATGAGAGCAGGATATGCTTAGAAAAAGGTGCAGAATAACTATGTGGGTGTTTGGTGGAAAAGTGGCTCAGTTGGTTAAGCAACTGCCTTCGGCTCAGGTCATGATCCCAGGGTCCTGGGATCGAGTCCCACATTGGTGGGGGGCGGGGGTTCCTGCTCAGTGGGGAGCCTCGTTCTCCCTCTCCCTCTCCCCCTCCCCCCTGCTCATGCCCCCTCTCGCTCTCCAATAAATAAATAAATAAAATCTTTAAAAAAAAAAATCTGAATTAACCCTGGAGTGAGGTCTCATGAGTATGTGAATGACACAATTCCTTTAGCTCATTATCTGTCTTCATTCCACACTACAGAGTTCACACTGCAGAAAGAGTTAAAATATCATAGAACGTGAGGCAGCCACCTTCCTGAATGGAACTTTGTTCACCTGAATGTCTACAGTTCAGTGACTTTCCATAAGTTCCAGTCTTTTGGGAAATATTCAGAAGTTGCATATTGCGTTCTGATGTGTCTGAAGTTATTGCTAGAAATCACTGCCAGATTCCATGGCAGAAGTCATCTCTGCCACCTGGATGGTCCCAATAACGTGTCAGTCACCACCCAATATGCTTAAGAATGCTGACCTCTCCTTTGTCATTTGCTGATGGAAATGATGGGTAATTGAGCCTCTTCATTTCCTTCTGATTTTGGTCATGCATGTGACCCAGTGTTGACCATCAGTACCTGATCTGTGTTCTGGGTGGTTACTTGCACAGGAAGACTAAATCTCTTAGGGACTTGGTCTTACCATGCTTCTGATAAATCTTTGCAGCTTCCAAGTCAGTAACAGGAATTGGATGCCACTTGTTGCTCTGGTTTATGCATGAATAGATGTCTTTTTTTTTTTTTTAAGATTTTATTTATTTTATTTATTTGAGAGAGAGAGAGAGAGAGAGAAACAGCATGAGAGGGGAGGGGGTCAGAGGGAGAAGCAGGCTCCCCGCCGAGCCAGGAGCCAGATGTGGGACTCGATCCCAGGACCCCGGGACCATGACCTGAGCCGAAGGCAGT